CGACTCTACTCCCCCCCGGAGTTAACGGTCCCACCTGGGGTATTGCCACATCATATTTATTCTGCACACTCGCCCATCCTAAAACTGAGCTCGTACTATCCCAGCCAGGCCGGTATCGCCCCCCCGCCATCCCTGTCAAGTCATACTATGCGCGCACACTTCTTCATCTGAAGAAAGCAAATTCCAATATTCCCTTGCAGAAAATTGTCATTACGCGCGTGTCCATGTCAGAATCGTACCAAACACAATGTGTTTGCAAGCATTTCAGCATGAAAAACATAAAAACATTAATAATATGTATAACAAAGGTTTTACAATTTGCCCGCGCGCTCATGCTAAAAGCATACAAGAACAAGCGGTTTCTGATGAACTCTGCCAAATCCAGCGATTTCATGTCACCGCGCGGTGCACCCGCGATACTCTTGTCATGCGCCGAAGGCGCGAATCCCTTGCAAAAAATACCACGCGGGCCACATGCGCGCACCGCCGCGCGCGCATGATCAGTTTGACGGATTGGTTGAACTTCCGCGCGCGCGGATTTGTTCTGCCTCATCGACACATGGACATCAGCATCGTCAACGTGTTTACCGTCATCGGCGCCGTTATCGTTCGTGCCGTCGCCCTCTTGAACATCGTCCGCCGTCGCTGGTGCCATCTTCGTCATTGTCGCAGACGTTGCCGGCGTCATCTTGTCATCGCGCACGTCCGCGTATCAGTGAGGATGTCATCGTCGATGTCGTCATCCGTGGCGCCGCCGCCCCCCGCATCATGAGTTTTGCCAAACAAGTTGCGGGTGGGAGGGCGGAGTGTTTGCGCGAGCAGTGGAGATGGCGACTTGAAGTTCAGCGGAGGAGCGGATCCTACAACGCAGAGTCCTTCTAGAAAGAGAAGATTCTATCCCTCCCCACCCTCCCGGGATTATCCACCCCCTCTTGCGTATCGCAATTTGCACATGATTCTGCCCCATTGTCGATCCCAACAATGAATTCGCACCAACCCAGCCGAGCCGGCGTCGCCCCCCCCCCCCCCCCCCCCACCCCGCAATCTTTTGCAAACAACGCTGTGCGCGCGCACGCCGCTGATATGAAAAGCATAAGTGGTCACGAACCTCTGGCAAGAAAACGGGGCGAAGTGCGCGCGCGCGTCGCCGCACGCGCATGCCAAAATCCTGCAAAAACCTTCGGTTTCGTAAAACTTGCAAAATCGAGCGTCGAGAAAAATGGAAAACATGATCTCGCCACACAGATGTTCAACGAAAGCTTGCGCGCGCGCTCTTGTGAATTTTTTCTCCGGAAACCATATGTTCAGAAAAACTACCGAACGGGCTTCGCGCGCGCATGTCGACATCGCTCGAACGCCCTTGCGCGCGTGCCGTCGCGATATATATATATATATATATATTTATATATATTTACGTATATACATATACATATATATATATATAAGTTTTCAAAGAAGCGCGAGCTCGCGCTCTTGCGAATTCTTGAGGAAACCGTAGGTGGTTCAACGTGGCCATGGAATTCTGCCAAAAGGGCCTCTCGCGCCGCATGGCGACATCGTTCGCGCGCGCGCGCTGGGGGGTGGGGGGGGGGTGGGGGGGCACTATCCGTGTCAAGTAGTACCATGCGGGCCACGCTCGCGCGCTGGCCGCGCGCGCGCGTCGAACTCTTTCCGGGACCTTCATCACCGACGCGAGGGCGCCGTCATCGTCGTCGGCGCGATCAGCATCGGCGCCCGCGGTGGCCGCGCCTTCGTCGCTGTCGACATCGTCACCAGCATCGCCAGTGTCATCATCGCGTCTACCGTCGTCGACGTTGCCATGATACCGCGCCCGCCCAAGTCGCCGACCCGCAGTGAAGTGCCCGTTGGGATGCGCCCAGCGGCCAGTGCCACCGCGGCCGCGACGGTCGCGCCAAACCACCTGGCCGCTGCGCGCGCTTGGGTTTGCGCGGCCGCAGAGATGCACCAGCCTACGTCAGCATGCATCGCAATCGCCACCGCGTGGGTTTTGCAAACCAAGTTGCGGGTGGGTGGGTGGGACGTTTGCAAGAGCATGGAATGTGTCCATTCGTTGGTTAAAAGCTAGTTGGAAACATATATTTTCCTATCTAAAAAGAGAATAGAGTCTACCCCCCCGGACTTAACGCTCCCCCCTGGGATAGTATAGTTTCATATATATAAATATACATATAGATATGTATGTTTGTATGTATAACATATATATATACATATATATATATATATATATATATATTATATATATATATATATATATATATATATATATATAATATGTTCACACTCGTCCATCCTAAATATGAAACCATATCATCTCAGCCAGGCCGGTTTCCCCCACTCTGAGGTTCCCTTGTAAAAAAAAACTATGCGGTGACATTTTTTGTTCTAACATAGCACTGTTACGCGAATCCCTTGCAAAAAATGAGACGAAGTGCACACGCGCGTGTCGTCGCGCGTGCATGCCGAAATCCTTCAAAAACCCTCGGTGCGGGAAGGATTTCGCAATCGAGTGTCAAAGAAAAACATACAAAAACACATGGTTTCGCAACACAGAGTTGCTAAAACAACTTCCGCGAAAGCTCTTGCGAAATCTTAAGAGAACCATAGGTTTTTCAAGATTTTCACAAAATGCTACCAAACGGGCTTCGCGCGCGCTCATGTCGAAATCTGCCGAACGCCCTTGCGCGTGTGCCGTCGCGAGAATCCCTTGCGAAAAACGGGACGAAGGGCAGACGCGCGCGTCGTCGCGCGCGTATGCCGGAAACCTTCAAAACCCATCGGGTTCGGAAGGGTTTCAATTAGCTTGGCGAAAGACCCAACCATGAGCAATTGTTAGTACCGCAATTGTGGGCATCATCTTCGGCGGAGCTCCCTATGGGGCCACGAATCGTGTGAGGGGTGCGCCAAAATGGGGCGGGGCCGCCATGCGGACCCTGCCACTGGGGCCTTCGGTGGAGCTCCCTATGGGGCCACGAGCCGTGTGAGGGGTGCGCCAAAATGGGGCGGGGCCGCCGTGCGGACCCTGCCACTGGGGCCTTCGGTGGAGCTCCCTATGGGGCCACGAACCGTGTGAGGGGTGCGCCAAAATGCGGGGCCGCCATGCGGACCCTGCCACTGGGGCCTTCGGTGGAGCTCCCTATGGGGCCACGAACCGTGTGAGGGGTGCGCCAAAATGCGGGGCCGCCATGCGGCCCCTGCCACTGGGGCCTTCGGTGGAGCTCCCTATGGGGCCACGAACCGTGTGAGGGGTGCGCCAAAATGCGGGGCCGCCATGCGGACCCTGCCACTGGGGCCTTCGGTGGAGCTCCCTATGGGGCCACGAACCGTGTGAGGGGCGGGCCAAAATGCGGGGCCGCCATGCGGACCCTGCCACTGGGGCCTTCGGTGGAGCTCCCTATGGGGCCACGAACCGTGTGAGGGGTGCGCCAAAATGCGGGGCCGCCATGCGGACCCTGCCACTGGGGCCTTCGGTGGAGCTCCCTATGGGGCCACGAACCGTGTGAGGGGTGCGCCAAAATGCGGGGCCGCCATGCGGACCCTGTCACTGGGGCCTTCGGTGGAGCTCCCTATGGGGCCACGGAACGCGTGAGGGATGTGCCGAAACAGAGACATGCGAAGGGCAGAGGCAAGGGGGAGGGAGGGAGGGGGCAGCGGGAGGAAGGAGGAGGAACGCGGGGCACCGTCTCTTCAAAACGAGGACCCAACACCACAGGATGGTTGGGAAAAATCGTGTGTCCAAAAAACCTACAAAAGCACAAGGTTTCGCAACACGGATTTTCAACAAAAGCGTGCGCGCGCGCTCTTGCGTCGTCGTCGTCGTCGTCGCCGTCCTTCCTCCTCCCGCGTCGTTGTCGTCGTCGTCGTCGTCGCCTACGTCGTCCTCTGTCTTTCCTCGTGTTCGTCGTCGTCGTCGTCCTCTTTGGCGTCGTGGTCGTTTCCGTCGTCGTTGTCGCCGTGGTCGTCCTTCCTCCTCCTCCCTCGTCGTCGTCGTCGTCCGTCGTCGGCGTCTCGTCGTCGTCCCTCCTATTTCGTCGCCGTCGTCGTCGTCGTCGTCGTCGTCGTCGTCGTCGTCGTCGTCGTCTTCCCTCCTCCCTCGTCGTTGCCGTCGTCGGCGTCGCCGTCCTTCCTCCTTTTTCGTCGTTCGCGTCGTCGCTGTCCTCCCTCCTCCCTCGTCGTTGTCGTCGTTGTCGCCGTCGTCGTCCTCCCTCCTTCCTCGTTGTCTTCGTTGACGACGTCGTCGTCGTCTTCGTCGTCGTCGGCGTCGGCGTCGGCGTCGTTGTCGTCTTCGTCGTCGTCGACGTCGTCGTCGTCGCCTACGTCGTCATCTGTCTTTCCTCGTGTGCGTCGTCGTCGTCCTCTTTGGCGTCGTGGTCGTTTCCGTCGTCGTTGTCGCCGTGGTCGTCCTTCCTCCTCCTCCCTCGTCGTCGTCGTCGTCCGTCGTCGGCGTCTCGTCGTCGTCCCTCCTATTTCGTAGCCGTCGTCGTCGTCGTCGTTGTCGTCGTCGTCGTCGTCTTCCCTCCTCCCTCGTCGTTGCCGTCGTCGGCGTCGCCGTCCTTCTTCCCTCTTCGTCGTTCGCGTCGTCGCCGTCCTCCCTCCTCCCTCGTCGTTGTCGTCGTTGTCGCCGTCGTCGTCCTCCCTCCTTCCTCGTTGTCTTCGTTGACGACGTCGTCGTCGTCGTCGGCGTCGTTGTCGTCTTCGTCGTCGTCGTCGTCGGCGTCGTCGTCGTCGTCGTCGTCGGCGTCGTTGACGTCGTCGTCGCCGTCGTCGGTGTCGTCGTTATCGTCGTCGTCGGCGTCGTCATCGTCGTCGTCGTCATCGTCGTCGTCGTCGGCGTCGGTGTCGTCGTCGTCGTCGTCGATGTCGTCGTCGTCGTCGTTGTCGGTGTCGTCGAAGTCGTTGGAGACGTCGTCGGTGTCGTCGTAGTCGTTGTCGGCGGCGTCGTTATCGTCGTTGTCGCTGTCGTCGTCGGCGTCGCTGTTGTTGCCAAATGCCATATGGTACCCACCGTCACGGTCTCAAGAGATTTGTCTGGCAGATCCGCGGCGCCAGCGATGGCCAAGCCGAGCGCTCGCACCCTGCTGGCGGCGTGGCGCCGCGGCGTGCTCCGCAACACGTCGCCGGAGGAGCGCCGGACCATCCAGAAGGCCGACAAGAAGGAGAAGGAGGCGAGGAGGAAGCGCCCGGGAAAGGGGGGGGGGGGGGCAGCGCGGGGATGCCAGCGCCACGCGCACACACACACACACACACACACACACTGACACACACACACACACACACACGCGCACACACACACGCAAATACAGGCGCACAGACACACAGACAGACACCCACACACACACGCACAGAAAGACAGACACACAGACATATCCACAGACAGACAGACACACAGACATACTGACATACAGAAACGCAGACACACAGACACAAAGACGCGCAGACACAAGGATACACAGAGGCACAGACAACCAGTCACACAGACACACAGACACCCAGACACGCAGACACTCAGACACACAGACACACAGACACACAAGCACGCAGACATACAGACACACAGACACGGACACACGGACACACGGACACAAAAGACACGCGGACATACAGACACACAGACGCAGACACACAAACACACAGACACACCGACGCAATGACAGACAGACACACACACACATATACACAGACACACGGACACACAGACAGACTGACACACAGACACACAGACGCACAGACACACAGACACACGGACACACGGACACACAGACACCAACACACAGACACACAGACACACCAACACAGAAACACACAGACACACAGACACACAGACACACAGACGCACAGACACAGACACGCAGACACACAGACACACGGACACACGGACGCACGGACATGCAGACACACAGACACGCGGACACACACACAGACACACAGACACACAAACACACAGACACCCAGACACACAGACAACCACGCACGCAGATACACAGACGCACAGGCACGCAGACACACGGACACGCTGCCAGACTGACACCCAGGACACCCAGACACACAGACACATAGACACACAGACGCACAGACACACTGACACACTGACAAATTGACACACTGGCACACAGAAACACAGACACACAGACACACTGACACACGGTCCCACAGACACACAAGCAACCAGACACACAGATACACAAACACACAGACGCACGGACACAAAGAATGACAGGAAGACTGACACAGAGGCACAGGGACACACAGACAAACAGACGCACAGACACACAGACACACAGAAACACAGACACACGGACACTCAGGCACACAGACACACAGACAAACAGACGCACAGACAAACAGGAAGACAGAGAGACAGACACATTGACGCACAGACACACAGACACACATACACACGGACACACAGACACACAGACAGACAAACACACAGACACACAGACGCGCAGACAAAAAGACACGCAGACACGCAGACACACAGACACACAAACATACAGACGCACAAATACACAGACACACGGACACACAGACACTCGAGCACACCGACACACACAGCACCAGACACACAGACACACAGACACTCAGACACACAGACACACAGACGCACGAACACGCAGACACGCAGACACACAAGCACACGCAAACACGCAGAAACACCAACACAAAGACACGCAGACAAAGGGACACACAGACACGCAGGCACAAAAGCACACAGGCGCACAGACACACAGACAGACTGACACACAGACACACAGACAAACAGGTACACGGACACACTGCCACGCTGACGCACAGACGCAGAGACGCAAAAAAAAAACAAGACACACAGACACAGACACACAGACACACAGACGCACAGACACACGGTAACCCAGACACCCAGACACGCAGACGCGCAGACACACAGAGACACAGAGACACAGACACACTGACACACTGACACAGAGAAACGCAGACACAGAGACACGCAGACACACAGACACACAGACACACTGACACACAGACACACAAACACGCAGACGCACAGCAGCACAGACACACCAACACACAGAAAGACAGAAAAACAGAAACACTGGCACGCAGACACACAGACACACTGACACACAGACACACAGACAGACAAACAGACAGACAGACATACAGAGAGACAGACAGACACATAGACACACAGACACACGGACACACGGACACACGGACACACAGACAACCACACACACAGACAGACAGACACACGGCCATACAGACACAAAATACACACGGACACTCAGACACACAGTCACAGACACACAGACACGCCGACACACAGACACACAGACACACAGACGCACAGACAGACAGACACGCAGACAAACAGACACACAGACACACAGAGACACAGACACACAGACACACGGACACACAGACACGCAGACACACAGACACGAAGACACACAGACACACAGACATACAGACACACAGATACACAGACGCACAGAGACAGACGCTCAAGCACACAGACACACAGAGCACCAGAATCACAGACACACAGACACACAGACACACGAGACACACGGACACACAGACACGCGGACACACAGACACGCAGACACGCAGACACAACAACACGCAGACACGCATACACAAGGACACACAGACACGCAGGCAAAAATGAAGGGGCCCCAGGACACACAAATCAATACACACAAATAACACAAATCCCCATATGTTCCCATGTGTTCTGCGCTTTTTGTCTTCCCTCCCACTCCCCATATTTTCCCATATATTCTAGCGAAGCGACGATTAATTGCGTCTGTGCTTTTTTCCTCCTGACCATAGACACACAGGCACACAGACACACAAACGCCCAGACAGACAGACACACGGACACACACACACACAAACAGATACACAGACACACTGACACGCTGACACACAGACACACAGACGCAAAAACACACACACAGACACACAGACACATAGACACATAGAGACATAGACACACAGACACACAGATAGGCACACAGAGCCCCCCCACCCACCACACCCCCTTCCGGCGCTCCGGAGGGGGAAGGCACCGCGCCATTTTGGGGCCGGCCGCCCCTCCGCTCCAACCACTCCGCCCTCGCAAACTCCGACAACCACGCCGACGGATCCAACTCATTTCCCGGCGTGCCCGAGACCCTCCCCAGGCCCCTTCAATCATCGATCCCTTCGGAACCATCCACCACTTGATCGGCGCCACCGCCGCAGAGAGTTCCAGCCCTTCATCCACGCGCACCCCCCTCCTCGCTGGCGCTCCGGAGGGGGGAGGCACCGCCCCACTGCGGGGCCAGCCCTCCCTCCGCCCCAGCCACGTCGCCCTCGCGGAGCGCCGGCGGAGAGAAAAGACTTGAGGGGGGAGGAGCCGAACCTCGCAGCACAGCCTTGCCCTAGTTTACCCGCTCCCCCCCCCGTCTTGCTTCCCCTCTCTTCCCCCCTCAACACCCAGCCCCCGCCGCACCCCCCGCCCTATCGACCCGCATGCCAGGCGGACCCCGCAGACGGATCCAGCTCATTCCCCTGCGTACCCACGCACCTCCCTCGGGCCCCCTCCGAGACCCGCTGCGACGCGCGCGTCGCATCCCCCAAATCGCGGCTGCGCTGGAACGCAGCCAAGTTCTCGATTCTTCCCGCGCCGAAGCCGGAGCTAGTTGGCTGACCCGACGAAAAGAGAGAATATGGTAACCTGGGGTCTGTTTTTTTGACTTTATGCAAAATTTTGAAATTCGTTTTGAGAACCAATATTTTTCTCACGTGTAGTGGGTTATGCCGCGTCTGCCAGTAAAATTCTCAGGCACGTAGCTGCAATATTACTGTTAAAAGACTTGAGGGAACCGACTTTGGATAAAAACGAAAAAAAAATGTTTTTTCGAGTTTTTTCTGCTCTTGCTTCAGAAGCTTCCTTGATGTATTGCGAGGAGCGCTGTGCAACAGAAGAGCTCTACGAGGTGCCCGGCGGTAATCTGGTTGACGGTTTACCGCCGGTTCCCAGTTTGCCCTATGCTCTCTGGGTTTTGGACCAAGTGCGTTTGCCCTTTGCTCTCCGGGTTTTGGACGCTACCAAGTGGACGCTAGCAAGTAACTCGTATAGCTTCCCTTAGCAAGTGATTGCTGGAAGCTCAAGAGTAATTCTGGGGCGCTGGAGAGCTAGTTGGCAAGAAAAATCTCGACTGACATTTTGAGGAATTTTGGTCGGTTCAAAATTTTGTTTTCGAAATTCAACAATTCGTTTGAGCTCTAGTATGTTTTTCCCGTGATATTCGATCGTATTCCCGCTCGCCATCTTGATCTCAGCTCGATCGGGTACCTTTTACTGCCAAAAAGCACTGCGGCGGGATCGGCCGTTTCGAGTCATCTTGATTCGCGTTGTCGGTATTTTGTACTTAACTCGAGCTGTAGGCCAGCTACAGAGCTGGTAAGCACAGCTAATCGATCCAGAATGATCAGGCGCGTTCGGCTGTTCTAACCAGAGGGCTGAACTCGGTCTGCTGGCCGAGCTAGGTCCGCCAACCTATTCTTATTATTCGAGTCATCTTGACAGGCGCTTCCGGTTTTCTCTACTGAACTCGAGCTATAGGACAGCTACAGGGCTGATACTTACAGAAACTGATTCGGAATGATCAGTCGCGCTTGTCTGTTGAATCCAGAGCTCTGAACTCGGTCTGCTGCCCGATCCAGAATCCCGAAACTGTTTTTATTGTTCGAGTCATCTTGAGAGGTGCTGTCGGTTTTCTGCACTTACTTCGGGCTTTAGGGGGGCTACAGTGCTGGTGGTGACAGCAATGAATTTGGAGACATCAGGCGCGTCCACCTGTGGAATCCAGAGCTCAGAAACAAAGATGCCGTCGTCTTTCTGCACTTAACTCGGGCTGTACGGGGGCTGCAGGGCGGGTAATCACAGGAATCGATTCGAAGACATCAGACGCGTTCGCCTGTCGCATTTAGAGGTTTGCCAAACTGTTCGTATTGTTCGAGTCATCTAGAGAGGTGCTGTCTTTACGCACCTAACTCGGGCTGTAGGAGAGCTACAGAGCTCGTACAGAAGACAATCCAGAAGCATCGGGGGCGTTCAGTTGTTGCATCGAGAGGTCTGAAATCGCTTGGGCTGAACAACAATTCGTTCTCT